GGGGGGGGGGGGGGGGGGGGGGGGGGGGGGGGGGGGGGGGGGGGGGGGAGAGACCCTTGGGAGGTAGGAAGGGAAGGGTGTTGTTGGTGTTGTTGCAGTTGTGTTCGTTCTCTTGGAGAAGCTGGTGCTGATGATCGGTCTTGTGTCTTTGCCGCATCATTGACGATCCACTCGAAAGACAAGTAAGCTCATTGCCACGGTATGGCACACGGTGTGCTTCCCTCATCCACTGGACGGGGGCGCAATTTGCGGTTGTGATGTCCATGTTTTTACATTGTTCAACTGAGCCTGTCGGTTGTTATCTTCACGCGAAGCGCGGTCCTTCGCGCCTGTAGACCATTAGCCTTGTTGCACAGCGGATAATGATCTTTCCAGACCCTAAGCAACTAGAGAGAGCACAATGGTGACGGGGCGACGTTTGAGCGAGGGCGGACGCGATTTTTTTAGGAAGCAGAGACGGGTGTGCATTCGTTTCATGCGTGCGGAACAACAGGAAGTGTGTTTGGCATCCAGTATTATTCATGGTCTTTGTGTTTGGACACAGGAGGGCGTCCGGTTCCGTTATTCTTCCTTGTCCTTAACGTGCTGTCACGCACCCCGACCTGGGGTGGGATAATCTCCCGTATAAAATTTGGCGTTACGTGAGTTGCGTTAGTTCGCCTTAAAATACGAATATTTTTCTTGTTCGACGTGTGTTTATGGGGAATGTAGTAGGTGGTGCGCCGGATGCCGCTGTTGAATTTGGCATTGGGTTAGGAAGTTATTCTGCTGCCTGGAGGCAGGCAAACAGCGATCGCATCGCTTCGAACGGTTAGTTAGATGGCCCCCCGATCGGTCCCTAGATATTTTGATAAAACAGCAGTGCTTGTTGCGAGGTGTCGCTGGTGGTGATGGTGGTGATGATTTTGGTTTTTGAGCGCGCGGCAAGAGGATGTTCACTGGTTGCTCGGTGTAGAGGCCTCAACATACGCTAAATATGCCCAGCATCCAGCAGGGGTGTCCCTCAAGCCTCACTGCAAAGACGTACCGAACGGGGTAGGTATGCTAGTCAGTCTCTGTTTGTTGTGGCCTGTTTCTGAGATCTCAATACCGTTCTGGGGTTTTGCTCGTGCTGAGGCAAAACAAACATTACTCATGTGGAGCTCAAGATACTACCAGCTGCTCTAGATCGATACAATCGGCAGGCAGGACGCGCGTATAGGAGGTTTTGCACTGCTCTTGATGACTACAAGCGCAATGGATCGGAGGAGACGGGTGGCATGAGGTGTTTTCGTTCAGCACAGACACAGATCTTGCGAGACGTGTGACAGCAGTGGATCACTGCTGTTGTTGCTGTTTTCGAAGGATAGCTTTTCTTGTGGTTCTCAGTGGCCGCGCATGGTTGATGGATCTTGAGGGAGGTTGAGAAATTGAGTCCATGTTCGCTCGCCCAACTCTCCACTCCACCCTAACTTGAACTGAGTTAAGTTCCCTCTGTCCTGCTTGGTTTTTCTCGCCATGTATGCCACCAAAGGGAAACAGCCGAAACCTCAGGTGCGCGGTCGCAGCCACCACACTCTTGACCCCACGCTCTCCCAGCGTCGAGGGCTCCATGTCGAGGATTAGTACTTTCTCTGGTTGGTCCGGATTATAAGCGCATTTTGAAAAACCACAATATAGGCACATTTCCAGGAGGGTACCCTAAATGGTTGTTTTAAGCCCCCAATTACCACCTCGTGGTGTTCTGTATGTGTCTGGGGTCTGGGGTCATGTTCCCAAAAAATAATCGAATTTGACTCCGGGGACGCAATATATCGTCCCCGTTTTTTTTCCGGGTCAAAATGTGCCTATGTTGCTGTCTGAGAGCTTATATTTCGGACTGTAGGGATGTAGAAGCCCGGAAATCACCAACATGGAGCAACTGGGCACATATTATCGACCAACAGTGTATTCCTATATGGTTGGGCTCATGTGCGATAGAAAAAGTCGATTAGTTACTCGGGGATGGCTCATACTCTGTCCCCGGGGATTGTTTTTTACGCCCAATTGGGCATATTTAGGGTTACAATAGTGTTACATGCAAGTAGAGGCACGAAATATCGGTAAGCTTACCTCTCTACGCAATCATGGCACCAGAAGCACCATCGGTACCAGCAACAGCACCAGCAGCGCTCTCGTTCGCTGACATAGGCAGTTGCCCACGTGGAGGCCGTCCGCTGTAGGTTCGGGCTACCGACAAAAAACACCCGACGGTTTCGCGCGGTTCTCCATAACGCCTCGAGAACCCCAAAAAACAAAAAACATTTTTTTGGGGGGGAAGGCCTCCACCCGGTGGGTTCACGTCTCCCACGGCCTACCCTTCCTGCCTGTTGTGTGTGTAGGTAGGTGTGTGTTGAGGGCACACCAAAAACTGCGATTTTGTTCTTTTCTCCAGAACCTCACGAGCACAACAACATTTTTTTGTTGGCCAGAGTCGTCTGTGGCGGCGAGTTATGCCGCTTTCGTTCAAAATGTGCCCATAATCCGGGCCAGAGGAAGTACCATTTTCGAAGCCACAGCAGTCTGACCCCCCTTCACGTGACATTAGAGTTGGAAGGCCAACATGATAGCCCCTTCACTTGATTTGATAGTTGGACGGCCCGTCTAAAACCCAGTCGCACGGCTGCGGGGAGGGTGTACGAAAATCGCCCACGTTTTTTTCTAGGGCTTTCAACGGCGAAAGCCAGAGACCCGTGCTCGCCCCTGTTCCCTCCCATGCCCGAGAAAAGAGCACGCGGTATTGGGGGGGCGGGGTCATACGACACTAACCTGTTTTCTCTGCTGTTCTCCAAGTTCTTGTTGCTGTTCTTTCAAGTATTTCGAGGTACTCTTGTCACGGCCGATCTCAACAGGAGCCTTATCCACCGTGCAAGGACGACAGACGATAGTTCTTCCCTCACCCATGACAGTTCCCAAAATTTTCACCACTCAGCTGCTGCAACGGTCCACCTACTAGGTTTCGCCGCACAGCAGCGACAGCTATTTTTCTGGCACAACGTCAGCACATGGATCGTGCGTTTTCTTTCCTCTCGCGTGCTACTCACAGCTTGCCGACACCTTCATGTATCAACCGAGGTCTCGGTGGGCATGGCTGGAACAACGACAAAGGCGGTCACCACACAGAACCCAACCAGCAAAATGATCTCAAGAGCCTTCACGCACGCAAAAATTTCATCGAGAGCATTCCTCAGCCAAAACAACAACTAAATAGCGAGCCCCGCCACACATTTATGTTACGCAAACGACTCCCACTACCAGTGCTGCCGCTGCCGCTGCCGCTGCCGCTGCCGCTGCCGCCAGGCAACAGTCATCCACAACAACTGAAAATAACCCCAACACACGCCGTCTTGCCACGCTCGCTGGCCTCGCTCAGAAATTTGGCACAAACCAAAACGCACATAACACAACCGACGGACATGTATCTACGTTCCGCACGTTTTCGTACCAAGGCCTTCACTCACAATCCCGCCCTGCTGTATGTGTGCACGCGCGCGCAAGCATGACTCTCGTTTCTCCGCCCCCCGTCCCCGTATGTTACCGTATTTACAATCCTGGAAAACATCAGGCGACAACCTAGCATCAAGCGCCCTAACTATATTGCCGTTTCCCGGCACGGCGTATGGTAGGAAGCTGCTCGACAGGAACCAACAACTCTTTACTAATAAGTATTTAGTTCGAAGGCCTTACCCAATGTGGTAGCCAACTGTTCCAGTACCTTAAGCTGCTGTGCTTCGGAATGCACTCCATGCTGCAAACGCCCCGCCCCCGCTCCTACTCGTGCATGTGATGACAAGATGACTGCTACATCATCCTCGACGCCGGTAAAAAAACACGGCCCGTTTCTAGTGGTGGCCAATCACGGTCCGTGCAACAGCACTTTGTGAAGCTTGTCCCCGGCAAGACCCCCTGTCCGTGCGCGAAGCACTCCACAAGCTGGCGATTCCTTCGTCTTTACAGCCGCAGGCTTTTTGGGGTCCGCGTGTGAAGGACACCGACCAAACACGTCAAATAAGCAGTCCAATAAAAAGAAAAAACTCAACAAGCAAAAGTCACAAGTAGCAAGACCTATTTTCGTGTGGGAGACACCAAACCACCCACGACACACAGCGGCGGCGGCGGCAGCAGCAGCTTGCACAATCGTCAGCGACGACTAGGAGCGGCATCCGCTCTCGCCACACCTCCGACCACACCAAAGGTCGCGACAACACAAGCAATCGCAGATAGATCGCAGATGGCAGACCGCAAACCGCGAGCAGCAGAATCAAAAGAAAATGCCGTCGGAGGTGGCCGTGAACATCCCGGCGATCTCTCTCCCCACCCCATCCGCCGCGAAGGCTGCCCCCGACAGCGTGGACAGCACTCGCGTCGCCTCCTTGCGCTTGTCGCCGGACGCCTCCCCGTCCGCGCCGCCGCCCCCCGCCTCGCCACCGCTGCTGCTGGCGGTCGCTCCCGCCGCGCCTGCACCCCCGACCTTCCCCGACTTGGGCGGCTTCCCCGTCTTGGGCATGCCGTACATGCCATCGAGGGCCTTCTCGAGTAAACCCTCGGCCTCCTTACGGTCGCAGTTGTTGCGCGTGAACGCCTATGTGTTGGTTGTTGGAAGCGGGGCAACGGTTGGGTGCGTGAGTTCGGCGGACGACAAGATGCAGCAAAGTGGCGAGATATAAAAATACATGGGGGGGTGTTGTTGCTATTATGCCAGCGGCGGAAGACGCCTCCCGCAGCAAGTAATTTCGCAATACATGGAAGTCGATTCGCGGAACACGGCTTCTCCAGAGCCCTCGTTGAGTGATTAATTTGTCTCGTATCGGTTGCTAGGCAGAGAAGACACGCGCAAAGGCGCATCGCTGTGGGGAATAGGTGGCACGATTAACCGGTGTGTTTCCTAAGGGGTGATCAAGGCCGTATCACGCTACAGATAGCAATTTGCACCTGACTGCTGAGAACATAAACAAGGTACGCAAGCATGTCTTCAGCAAAACAAGGTACTTCGTACGTGCGCACACCCCCATCCTGTCCTAATGGCAATGACGCGGAGCACGGTCAGCCTTTGGCCAAGCGTGGTAAAGGCATAGGTCGGAATCGCAGGTTTCTGGCATGATCCTCTCGATGAAAGGAGACGCACTGCGCGTTGCGACGTGCTACCCCGTGCGCGTGATGGCTCGCACGGCTGGATGACTGACGCTGGTTTGACACAGAAAAAAGAAAACAAAACAACCAGATGGACGAGAACCGGCCCAGCAAAGCTTAAGTATGCCAGTACAAGCGATCGCGGTGCTTCACATCGGCTTATATCTGTATCCTGACATGCCTCACCTCTGATACCGTTAGTGTCGGCAGCGCTAACGCCTCCACGACCATGTCCGCCATGTCGTCGATGAAAGCCGGGTCCGTGTTGAGCGCCGGTACCCTACACCGAAAAGACGGTGGCAGGGTGACACACCAGGCAGCAGGATATGATGAGCCAACGGCGGAAAAAAAAACATAAGTTTGAACACTGCTTTTGTATAGAAACATTTCGTCATCTCGGCGAGGGAGCAATGCTCGGAGACAGCAATGACCCACGGTCGGCACACGCGCGTCTGCAGCTGAAACACAGGCAAAGAGCAGCAACACGTATCAAGTTCAACAAACAAAAGGTACAGCCAGGGTTCTCTCATCAAGCCCCCCCCCACTCCCCTGTCCGCCCCCCCCGGTGTTTTGCCATCGGGGTTGGGTTTTCGTCGCTTGGCAAAGACGTCGTAAAACAAGCCAATTCACTTCGTGAACTCGGCAACCAGGTCACCGTTATTTTTTTTTTACCTCCGTTATTTTTTTTTTTTGGCGGTAACCATAATGGTGGTCGAGTAGATCACGTTGTGCGGGGTGGAGAACCCTCACTCCGCGCAAGGGGGATGATCGCACCACGTTGTGTTAAAATGGTCAAGCACCCTCGAGGC